TTAATGAATAGAGGGATTTGTTCTAATGGTGTTTGTAAATAGGGTATCATGTCCGCATCTTGTACAGCAATTAACCACTAGGAAGAATGTATGCAGTGTATTAATTATTGAAACTGTCCTACCTATTTGGTTTGAAACTGTCTCATTGCTATTTGTTTCTCAATAAAATTATGGGAAAAAAAGAAAAAGTAAATAAATAAATAAATAAAAAGAATAAATGATGCAAATCACAACGGCAACTAGATCTGCTAAGTCACTCCGTGTTAGCCCTGGGCATATGAATGGTAGCTCTAGGCCTGCGTGGAACGAATGTTTTTCACAAAAGTATTCTCCGCTCAGAGCTCTGAGGTCCATGTCTTTTCTGGAGCCTACAGTTCTCATTCTAACTAAGCTCCCACGAAGGCGAAGTCCACCGACAAGGGTATTGGGGAGGGTAGCAGAGCTCTGCAGCCGTGGCGACAGCACCCCGGGCTGTTTGGGTTGGCGCCTGCTGTCCCACGAACAGTGGCTACAGAACAGCTTCCCTCCCCTCAACCCACTGCGAGCCCGTCGCAGCCCACAGTCGGAGCAGCAGGAAGGTCGCCAGGTCTCTCCAGATTCTGTCTAGAGAACAGACTCCTCCTGAGGAAGGAAGCACTACTGTCTTCTGTGTTCAGTCCCAAAATCTACCGCTAGGCCTCACTTGCTTCACTGTACATTAACATGTCAATGTGCACCCCTTTTCCTACAAGTGAGCCCAGGTTATGCCCCTCTATGGAAGAGTGGTACCCCACCGGGTATACGCACCGCATTCTCTTTACCCGCGCACATATGGATGGGCAAACGGGCCGCTGGCAAGATTTAGCTCCTATCAGCGAGAGTGCGCATGGATCCCTGTAACATGATGCTCTTTTCTTCTTTTAATAATTTTATTGAGAAACAAAGAGCAATGAGACAGTTTCAAAACCGATTAGTAGGACAGTTGCAATCATTAATACATTGCATATTGTCGTCTTCGTAGTGGTTATTCATAGTACAAGATGCAGACATGATATCCTGTCCAAACACTTTTAGTACAAATCTCTCTATTCATTGAATTAAGAGAAAGTAGCTGTATATCTATCCTATTTTGAATACACAGATACAGAATGGTCCTTCATTTGTATCCCCTTTTTTGTTTAGTTTCGTCAGAGATGGGTATTCCATTGCTATTTAAATATTGTAGGTGCGTGAATTCAGCAAAATAATCCAATACAGTCCAGTAGTCCATAATAGTAGTGGGCTATCCACAGGACTGGCAATGTCAGAAGTTGTTGGCTTGAGCCTTTTACAGCTCAGTATATTAATTTGGCTTTACTTTTTATACTTTGTTTTTATACTTTTCTGCTGGATAGTTAAGACCAAGATAAAGCAAGAGCTATATAGCAAGAAACATAACTTTTGTATTTTATTGAGAAACAAAGAGCAATGAGACAGTTTCAAAACCGATTACTTGGTTTTGAAGGTCAGTCGAATCCCCTCAGGACTTAGGGGCAAACACGTAGCCCAGGAACTGCAGGGTCAGACACGTGGTCTTAGGTTTTGGAGGAATCTCGGTAGTGACCTCCTCAGCGGTTGCAGTCACGCAGAAGGCTTTCCCACGTGCTGGCCAGCACGCCTAGCTTCCACCAGCGTCAGGCTTACGTATCTCCCTGGTGCGCTTATGTGGAAAACCCCCAGTATACATAAGGAGCCAAATGAAAGCCAGAGAGAAGGAAATAGGCGAATGGCTATTTGGGAAGTGGACTGAGAGGTAGAAGGCAGGGAGGGCAACGGGATTAAATGAGAAAGTAAGGAGTGTTACATGCCTGAAGCACAGCATGACTACAAACACCGACAGGCCAAGTACAGCAAATGCGCACTGATACAACACGAAACAACAACAACAAAAACTTCCACACCACCACCACTGCCCCTCGTGAGAGATCACTCGGGTGCTCCACCCACTGCTCCCCAAACAAAGGCGCTGCCTTAGTTCCCAGAACAGTCCCAGGAGACGGTCGCCGTTTTTCGTCCGAATTTTTAGCCAAGAAGCTCGCTGAAGTACAGAGAGCGGAAACAGCTTGTTGACAACGCGGAGTTGGAAGAGGTGAGCTGGAGCCCGCGAGCCCAGATGACACACACCAATGGTCCCATCTTCCAGGGCCTCTGCACATGGATCCGAACCAGGTGCCTCGCCTGAGCCCACTGCCTCCCTGCCCTCGCCTCTGAGCCTGCCAGGACCCCTCTGAAGGGCCGCAGCTGCCCCCCTGATGTCATAATGGCATGACGTCACAGGGGTAGGCTTTGTCCTAGAGGGGCAGGAGCGGGAGTAACAGGGATCTTGACCACGGGATATTTATTATTCATCTTTATAGATACACTTTATTATTCATTATTTATGTTTTGTATTTTAAGGAAGGGTCTAGAGGGTGTTCAGGTTCTCACTACTAGACTGGACTAGTAGTGACCCACCTGTGTTTAGCCTCCCAAGAGCTGGGATTATAGGCGCACGCCATCACACCCAGTCTCAATCGCTGTCTCAGCGCACCCCGGGTCCGGGGCCAGCACCATAGGCCTGGGGATCGAATCCCTGGCCCCTGGCGCTTTAATCCGCTGAGCTACTTGGCCGGCCCTACAGCTGCGCTTTTAATACTTTTTTTTCCCCCTTTGTATTCAGGACAGGGTCTACAGGGTCTCACTATACAGATCGGACTCATAGTGATTCTCCTGTTTTCAGCCTCCCAAGAGCCAGGATCACAGGTGCATGCCACCATACCCAGTCCCAATCCCTGGCTCAGTGTGAACCTGGGGGGGGGGGACCAGCACGGCACACCGGGGATCGAACCCCACTCCCTGTACCTGCCTAAGGAGCCGCTCTGATCTACTGAGCTATCAGGCTGGGCCCTATAGATGCACTTTTAAATGGTCAGTGCTAGGGACGACTTCCCCGGGGCTGGCCCTGTGCTCCACTCTGGAGCTCCACCTTGAGGCCAGGGGGTGCTAGGGACTTGTCCTAGGAGGAGTGGACCTTGCACATACCCACTTCCACCAGAGGAGGCGTTCCCTCTGCAGGGATGAGGGGCACAGTCCTTCGCAAGGTAGGAAAGCAGCTGGTAGACCCCACCCATACCACGGGCCTCTGCGCTCCAGCCATGCCGCTCTGCTCGTTCACCCAGAACTCGCTCAAAGGCCCAAGAGACGGACCATTTCTCAAGACTTAGCACACGTTGTGCCATTTAGGTTTGGGCCTGGAGACGACTTCCAAACGCTCCCTGCACTGCATGCTTGACTTCCCACCCAGCTGTGCTCAGAAAGGGGTGTGTGTTGAGGGGTGGGGGTGCTTGGATCGCCAGGGCTCTGGTCTCACCTACGGATTAATGTGCGGATGGGTTCTTAACTAGAAGGGCTGCTGGGAGGTGGCGTTCCCTTTAGCAGGCAGGGCTAACTGGAGACAGTAGCTTATTGACACCATGTCCTGGAAAGGCCAACTTGCTACCTGGCTCCTCCCTCTGTTCTTGCTTTTCTATGGATATCAGCTCTATTCTATCCCGTGGTGCCCCCCATAGCGTCTTCCCTCAACATACATCCCAAAACAATGGACTACGGAATGAAATCTTTGGAACTCTTAATTGAAAGAAAATATTTCTATTTTTAGTTCATGCTCTCAGGTATTCTGTCCCAGCGATGGAGAGCGCATGCACTTGCCATATGCTTCTGTTTCTTACATGGTGGCTGCCCTTCCCAGTGCACACCTGTATAGCTTGTCTCTTATAAATTGGTATTTGCTTCAGTGACACTTTAGCCAATGGGATTTTTCATTGTGAAGCCCTCTGGGCAAAAGGGATGGGTAGGAGAGCTCCACGTTTCATGTCTGTAAATATCAGAACATTTGGAATTCAGTTCCAATGCTATTTGATAGAGATGACACAGGTCAGGTTCAGGTGAGTGAAACACTTCCTGAAGAGCCACACTGTGTTCCGAGTGCAGGGCATGCATTCACACTTACCCTGAGGTCAGCTTAAGACGGTCGCCAGCTGTTGCTGCGCAGAGGGCCTTCACTGATGGAGATCAGCATGTGCAGGCGTAGAAGTGGTGCTCTCAGCAGAGGAGAATCAGGGACGATGGCCTCACCCTGCAAATGCAGCCAAGAAGATAAGAATTGGGTGGAGAACCACACGGACATGGATTTGCATGGAATAAGCTCTTTCTTACTTTGGGAGGTTCTCCGTCAGGAAAAACTTCCTTGCACTCTCTACTTAATGCAGAGAGTTAGGTCTCAGCTTTCTGTCACCCAATCTGAGGAGCTCCCCACAATTACACCACATGAAACAGGTTCTCAGTGAGGTTTCATATCACAGCATCATTTTTCCCCTTGATAGCTGTCATGGTTTGGGGTTTTGCAAGGGAAACAACATAATACAGGACACATTTTATAAGGAATCATGCAAAGAGTCATATACAAGAAGTGCAGGCAATCTGTCCACACGCTAAAGACCAAAGTATCCGAATGAGGGCCTGGCTCCTAATATTCTGCACGAGTGCAGCTGAAGACCTAGAGCTCATGACAATGCCTCCCACAAGTCCAACTGGGGGCCTGGAGCCCATGACAAAGTCCCCTCCAGGTCGCCTTCATGGATCTGTGCTCAAAAGGCCTGAAGGTCAGTGGCAAAAGCTTGAAAGTCTATGCCAGCGGGATGAAGGACATGTGCTAGCAGGCTGAGAGATCTGCACTGGAGCCAGGAAGCAGTGCTCAAGGTAAACACCAGAGCGCCCCTAAATGTTCCATAGCCAGGCTCAGGGACCACGAGGTCCCGAGCTCCTCCCCTGACAAAAAGAGCCAAGTTCACCAAAGCCAGCATGACAAGGTCACCCAGCTAAAGAGCCCAGAGAACCAATGGCTTCCAACAGCTCCAACAGCTTCTCCAAACAGCATCCCTAACAGCATCTGTCTGTCTCCTGTTTGGCCCTTATGCTGCTGACAATGACCCTCAGGTAGGTCGCCCACACCCAGCCCCACACCAGTCTAATTCAGCTCGGTGTAACAAGTTGACCACCGGTTAGAAATCCACTACAATAGTCTCTCTCTCTCTCTCTCTCTCTCTCTCTCTCTCTCTCTCTCTCCCCTCTTTTCCTCTCTCCCCTCCCTCCCTCTTCCCCTCTCTCCCTCTCTCCCTCTCTCTCTCCCTTTCCCTCTCATACACATATTTACAAGCAGGCCATTTATGCTTATATTATTGGTCTCTATTTGTTAACTTGACATATGATATCATGCCTTGTTTTCTTGTCTTTGTGTTTCTGTACATGCATATAGTGCTCTGTATATTATATAGGCTTTCTTATGAGCAGCATTTTCATTCCTCTTCGGCAGCGCTGGTGACAGAACCCAGCCCCTCCTGCACGCTAAGGCGGTACCCTATGGCTGGCCTACTTTATAGACTCCCACGAGGTTCTAGGAGCAAGAGCTCAAGACGGAAGTTCATTTCTTATGCACATGGAGGGCCTGGATTGCCACAGGACTCAGGACCACGCTAGCCTGGTGCTCTACCACCAAGCCACACTCTAGTGGCAGTGGCTATTTTCTGAATAGACTTGGAGTCCCAAGTTAGTGCTCACGAAACAAATCTATCCACCACTTGTTCTTATAATTCAGCAGTGCTTCTTGCTCAAACATTTGAAAAAGAGTATTTTTGATGCAGGCAAATAATATGAAACTCGAATAAGCAACGTGCACATTCACTTCCACCTGATTCAGAGGCATTTGGGGGCCACCAAGTCAAAAGCAATCAGACGCATGACATAGATCACTTGGCCCCAAAATACGAAAATTAGTGACTATCTTCCCTTTACAGAAAGAGTTTTCCAACCTGTGATACACAGAGCACTCCATATAAATTGAAAGTAAGTTCAGAAGGAAGCCAAGAAGCTACTTTTCAACTTATGGAAGACATTTCTGTGTTAGTTGCTGACATTTATCTCAAAAACTAGTGTCTGTCTTCCACAAGGCATTAATACATGAAACTACTGTTCAGGTAATAAAATGTGAAATGAAATCCTACTTGGCAAAATATATCCATAACAGACCACCAGGTTAGACAACAGGGACTACTGTATAGATTTTTGTAGCTGTAGATCTTGCTGTACGGAAGTAAGTTTCCATCAACACTCAGGTTCGCTCGTTATCTGGGAAATGTCATCCAGCCTCCCGCCCCCCAGTGATGACACTGGGAACTATACGCAATCTGCCATGTGGCTGTGCAGGTTAGAGCCCTTGTAAAGTCAAAACCCTACGTATCGATCTTGATCCTCAGCCTCTCTCTAGAGGAGTGACAACACCCCTGGACAAGGTCATTCCTCTCTCCCCAGTCACCAGGAGCGCTCTTGGCAGGCCTCAGATTGCACGGCTGTGGGTCTGATCTGAACACTGGGATCACCATGTGTACACCATCGGATCTTTTGGTTTTTTTCCCCACCCTTGGACTTGCAGAGGCTGCAAGATGTTGCCTTGACCCTGGCTTTTGAGAGGCTTAGCCTCCTATCAACCACTGAGGAATGAAGAAAAGCAAAACTGTCTAAACCAGTCCCAGTGGAACTGCATGCAGAGTCTGTATTCATTCATTTATTTTTTTTTTTTACTGAAATAATTCAAATATTTTATGTATAGATGAACAGAACTGTCTGAGAGGTCAAAATATACAAGGCATGTGACACACAATCACTGGTGTTAAGTCATTTCCAGTATCGATAAAATTTTAAAATGTGGGGCCGGGGAGATGGCTCAGTGGAATAAGTGCTTCTCTGGCAAGCGCAAG